AGAGATGAGGTGTCTTTGAGACTTCCATCCAATGATTATCAAGCAGGATGCTGAGCCATGGCCGCCTTGAAATTCAATTAACATTCAACCACAATAAAGCTTGTGTCAGGTTTTATGTTCCAAGTTTGTCTGTCTCTAAATGTCACTGCATGTTGTAGATAATAGCATCTGTGCATGTGTGTTATCCCATTCCCTGTCTGTCTGTAGATAATGTGTCAGTCACTACCACGGTCCCTCCCACTCCTACTTCCACCCAACCACTCACCTCCCATCCCGCAACCCAAACCCTGCTAACACGCAGCGTCGCCTTGGACCCGAAAGGTAACACACACACACCTTTTTTTTTTTTTTAAATTCTCCCTCTGCTGCCCTCCATCCCTCTGCTCGTCCTTTCCTGCTCTCCTTTGGTGTCTTCCACTCCCCACATTCATTTGATGACTCTCAGGTGCCCCCCCCCCCCCCCCCCCCCCCCCCAGACACACACCCACTCTCTCACACACACCCACACACACACACACACACACACACACCATTTTTCTGCTGCAACCTTCCTTTGCCCTGCATCTACATGAGCGCATGTGTCTGCAGACGCTTGGGTATGCATCATGCGCAACCACCCACTCTCCCTCTTTCTTATCACTGGCTGTTTGATGCACCCCACACACATTGCCCAGTCAGCATTCGTGTGTGTGTGTGTGTGTGTGTGTGTGTGTGTATGGTCTGGGGTGGGTCTCTTGGTGCTTGGTGGGTACTGTTAATGAATCTGCGTTAAGAGTTTAAGGAATTGGCAGTACACCCAGCCTTTAACTGACTGACACCGGCCTCTGGAGGGCTGAGAAGATGCTACACAAACATATTTATCTGCACACATCCACACTCACAAACACACACACACACACACACATATATATACAGAAAGAGAGAGTGAGTGAGAGAAAAACAGAAAGAACGAAGGAAAGAAAGAAAGACAAGAGATCCAGGTGGTTGTCTAATCACATTCTCCCAGATGAGTGTTACACAGCAGGAGAAAGAAAAGGCTGCTTGGCACTAGTGCTACTCTGAATTTGTGTGTGTGTGTGTGTGTGTAAAACTACACACTCTCTTTCACTACTTTCTCTCTCTTTTTATCTACAGAATCCATTTATCTCATACATACACTGACACAAACACACACTGTCACTGGCGTCTCCTCTTTCCTTCCACACCTTTCGGATGCTCTGTCTCCTCTCTGCGTCTTAAAAGAGAGAGATGAAGCGAAAGGGAGCGGGGGCATCCTTCTTGTTCTTCTGTTACCGCTGCCACTGTCTGTGGCAGGCAGAGGTTGTTCACCTGCTGGGCATGTGTGGAAATGTCATAAAGAGTCATAAGAGAAAGCTGTGGCTCCTTTAACAGTTTGGTGAGCGTTTAGTCGATGTGATGTACCGTCTGAGGGGCTCCTCGGAGAAACAACACGCTTTAGAGTGCCGTCAGTCATTTCCTGCGGAGCTCTGGGCCGCCGTGGATTAAGCGCAGGGTGGCGTGAGGTAAACGTAGAGCGCTTGACTGCTTGCTTTTTCATCCTCTGTGAAATATCACTCAGGCCAACTGCTTAATCCTATCTTAGTTGTGTCCTGTGTGCCTGCTGATGCACAGATGTGTACTTACGACACACAAACACACACACACACACACACACACACACACACACCAATACTTGATCATGCACATTAGCAGCAATGTGATGCATTTTGTCACGGTGCTCAATGAGACACTTGTCCAGGAAATACATGTACAAGAGCACCCACTCTTTTCTACAGTTGTCAACACTTTCTCCTCCTCTGCCTCTTCTGCCTCTTCCTCTACTTCCCCTCCTTCATCGCTCTCTCTCTCTCTTTCTCTCCTGATCTCCATGTTAGCACTGCATTAATGATTCATGTTTTAATTCTGCTTTGTCAAGGTCCAAGAGCTGCATCAATAACTCTGTGTCCTTGCTTCCCATTGGCTTTACCAGCTCTTACACTACAACCCCCAAGCCTCATCAAAAAAAAGGAGCTTTTTGTTGTCAGCAACTGAAGATGCTCTCTCTTTATTTAGGTTCATACTCAAAGACTCAACCATTCCCTTCTCTTTCTCCACACCCCTGCACTAGATCAATCACCTGCTTTTATTGTTGTCAGAAATTCTATGCCGACACATACCTGCACATATGAGCACGAGCTTTGTCTTAAGCGTTGCTGTGTGGTCTATTTTAGGTCTGCAGCTAACAGTTGCGCTACCGGTTGGTTAATTGTTTAGTCCAAAACGTCACTGTCAAAAATACTTAACAAATGAACATGAGCAAATGTACCAGAGCCCTCCAGTACTCAGTTTATGTTCTAACACTTGAATTTAAAGTCATACAACACTAAGAAAAATGCAGTAAACAGTAAATATTTTGCATTTTTGCTTGATAAATGACTTAAACAGTTAATCAATTCCTGAAATTGCTGTCATTCAGCTTTTGTGTTATTTGACAAATTGCTTCATCGACTAATCATTTCAACACTAACCCACAGTTTCTTTCACTTTTCCACTGTATTTGTCCTTTACTTTAAAGCGGGGTGTGTAAACTTATTAAAAGGTGAGGTTGGTATAAATAACTCCCTGCGATGTTATACTACAAAATGTCACAGAATTTAACTTGTCTTCTTTATCTTTTTATCTCTCTTCACTCATCTTGTGGTGAAGTGTTTGATTTCATTTCCCAGGGCTGCACTACCTAGGGTGTAAACACCCTCAGAGTTCCCCTCATTCAAAATGCATTGTGCTCTTGACAGGTGCTTGGCTGGAGTGGGTTTTTAGAGGCTGACATACTTATTTCTTTATTCACTCTCCTCATTTCTCCACCTTCTTCTCACCCAATATGACTGCCTGACATTCTGTGCAGTAGTGGGTGATGAAAGGTGATAATGCAAGTTGGGTGGAAGATATTGACTTCTCTTTTCTCCTGTCTTGCTCCCTGCACTCTCTCCCACACTGGAAGTTTTAATGTGATTTCTTTCGCTCACTTTTATCTCTTTCATTTTTGATCCATCTGTCTGTTTGTCTCCGTTCTTTTCTCTGCGCTTCTCTCTCCTTATATCTCCATATATTTTCCTTCACACGCCCCACACTCCACCCATACACATTAATTGTTTCTCTTATTCTTTCCTCAGATCCCGGTGCAGTGGTAGAGACTCACAGTGCAGTACCATATGCAGTGATAGGTGGCGTTCTGGCACTGCTGGTTTTCACCGTCATCTGTGTCCTCATTGTCACCATCTGGTGCTCTGTCCGACAGAAAGGTAACACACATTCACAAAACACACACATACGAAGTAACACAAAAGTTTCCTTCACAAGCAGGGGACATGTCTTGGCACTCAGAGTGTTTTATCACATTTTTCATAGGCACATTCTCTCATTTCTGCACTTTCTTTTATAACATGGATGTAAAAAAGTCATTGGAAGACAGTTACACCCAGATTTTCTGAAAATAATCTTTTAAACCAAGGTGTAAAATTGTCAGCACATAGCAGACAGGACCGGATGCTCCTCTCCAGTCGGGCACTGTCCGTGATGGACGACCTTGGCCAGGATAGCAGGAGAGATAGGGTGGGGTGGGAAATGTAGGTGTGGCCCCATGTTTTATGACTCCATGTTAGTGTATCAAGGCTCATCTATTAAAAGCAGCCCTCTGCATTCCCTATCTTTTTAAGTGCCCTCATTTTGGCAGCCTTTGACTGTGCGCCAGAGCTGCCAAGAAGTGATCCGGGAACAGTGTAGCAGGCCGCAAACAGCCATTACTTACCCTATGGCTAGACAAGCCGTCAGTCAATATTCTGTATGGCTTGACCGCCAATCAGCACAGAGACAGGGCCATTACAACCAATCAGTGTTGAGACAGGGCCATTAGGGCTTTGTCTTCAGCTTGCCGTGACTGTCAGCATGCCAGTCAGCCTCTGCAGTAAGGAGAATGAGAGTGTCACTCACCCCTGGAGTGAAGGGACACTCCGGCAGGAAGATGACTTGAGCGGTTCTTGCTCCCTGTAACCTGTGCTGCACCGACTCATTAATCACGCGGACCTAAGGGGTGTTAAAATGAGTTTGATAGGTTTTCTGAGTGACACAAATGTGCCATTGTTCACTTGCACTTAACCTCCCCTCCACCTTTTTCTGCCAAACTCTCCTCCCTCCCCGTCTTTGATTCTCTATCATCTTTTCCACTTCCTTTTCCTTTTCTGTCTTTTCTATTCACACTTCCATCGCCTACTTTTAATTTCCACCGGTAGGCTCGTACCGTACCCGAGAGCCTATTCTTGCTTGGTATTGACCTAACAATTAGTTAACTAATGAATTAATCTGTCACAGGTATGGTACTCAATAATATTAGCGCTGATTGGTTTGATAATTCTGCATGGCGCTGCAGTGATCATGATGCTTTGCCACCTAACCTTCCCACTCCAATGTCCCTCTCGCTCTCTCTCTCTGTCTCTTGCTCTCTCTCTCTCTCCTCTCTTTTCATGCAGGTTCCTATCTTACCCATGAGGCCAGTGGGTTGGATGAACATGGTGAGGTGCAGGAGGCCTTCCTTAATGGGAACGACGCCAGCCAGGGCAAGAAGGAGTACCTACTGTAGCCCTTTTCCTTCCTTATCCCCTTCTCTTCTGACCTCAACCCCCTACCCCTTCCTCTCCCTGTCTCCCCCCTTATATACAGTATATACACACACACACACACGCACTCTCACACACACACACACACACGCGCGCACACACACACTTCTATACAACACGCCATATAGGCGGCCTTCTGAAAACGACTGTATACAGATACTGCACACAGCCAGTCCATCCCATGCCATTCCACCCCATATCCTCCACACACACACACAGACACACACACACACACACACAAACCCAGAGACAGATTGAGAAAAAGAGAGCCTGTATACCCACCAGCCATTAACGACGTGTGCCATATACTGTAAGTCAGAGAAACGAGCAGGGGGTGGGGGGGTGGGGGTTGGGGGTGGGGGGTGGTGAGAGGGTGAGGTGCACGTAGGAAATATAACGAATTAACCGTACGAGTAATTATTTTGATCGAGAGGGAAGTGGGGAGCACAAAGAAAACCGGCGCTCTGCACCGTGCAGCAGCCGGAGTGGAAGGGGAATTAGGGCGACAGACGACTGCTGTAACTCCATGCCTGAAGAAAACCCATCCATTTCACAAAGCTCAATCTTTAACTGGCGGAGACAGTGAGACCAGTGTGTGAGGAGGGAGGGGCAACTGAGGGGGGCTGCGGGGTGGTTGGAGGGGGGGGGGGGTTGACCTGGAGCTAGCAAAATTGAACTTTTTAAAAATTGCCAAAGCATCTTGCCTACAGAGCACATCCCATATGTAATTCCCTAACAACAGTGTAGTGTGTAAACCCAGAGTCCCGGGAAGTATCCATACTTTATGAACAAGTTAACTGTCCTGTTTTGCCTGGTGGGTGGCCTGCCAATAATTTGTGAAAAAAAAAAATCAGCTTTTAGTGACCACCCCACCCCTCACCACCACCACCACCACCCTCTCGTACCAGCAATGAGCGAAAGGTGGTTCTCCTCTCTTTTAATTTACTCTCCATCTCCTTCCTCTCTGCTCACCTGTTACCATCCACTCCCCTCTCCCTTATATCTCTCTTTCTCTCCGTCTGCCCCCCCCTCCTCAATCGCTCCTCCTTTGTTGGCTCCTAATAATGAAAGGATTAGTGTTGGGCTGAGTTCCCGACAAAGAAGAAAGGAATATGACTTGCTAAGGCATTAAAGAAAAGCTTAATTATTTTAAAATGTCATTAAGAGGATAAAAAGGTTTAAAAGTCTTATTAAGAAGGGCAAGGGGAGCGATAGCAAAAGGAATGAATGGGAATATTAAATGGATGGATTTTTTTTTTTTTCTGGATGCTACCACACATATGCAGATACATGCACACATTCATACAGTACAGTAAACATGTTGACAGAACAAATATACATATCTCCGAATTCCTTATTTGTATAAAAAAAAAAGAACAGCAACATAAATTAAATGAAACTTTTAAGAAAATAAGAAAACACTTTACTATTGAAACGCATTATGAAGCAACTATACTAACACAGAATATTAGCCTATAGAGGTGCAAAGCCGAACAAACTACTGTCCAGTGATCTTTAAAGAAAATAAAGAAAAGAATAAAAAAAAATCATTTGTCTTTATGAGAAACCAGAGGTCTTATTGATTTTTTTATTAATTATTATTATTATTTGAACAATTATGATTGTTGTTACTGTTATTATTATTGCCGTTGTTATTATTATAATTGTAAATGTTAAAGAAATGTACACTTCCCATGGTTTGTTTTTGGTTCTACTGTAGAGAAATTGCTGTCTTTTTTCACTCTCTTCCTCTTACCTTTCCTCGCTTTCCCAGTCTTTCTCTCTCTTCGTCTCCTGTGCCTAGTCGTCTCTTCTCCTGTCTTTCACTCTTGTTTATTTTAGAGTCCATGTGTCATTGTTGATATATAGCTAACTATTTCTTTATAGGGGAAAGATACAAAGCACGACAAAATAAAAAAGAATCCAAAAATAACCTTGGGGATCAGACTGGTTTTTGGATGTATTTACCATGTAATTAGCAAGTGCTGTTTTTTGAAATCCTGCGAAAAGAGAACAGGAGACTGAGCATATGATTAGATCAATGGGGAATAGTGGAGTTATAGGTGGGAAAATAAAGATGAAGGCGGCAGAGCACTGGCAGCTCATTCAGAATAAATAGAATAAACAAAACAGAAGGTTCTGTGGTGCTGCTAATGAATCATAAGAACAGATAGCAGGGAAGAAAGGGTGACAGGAGGGTTGAGTCAGATGCACACAGAAAAATATGACTCTGCCATTAACTTCCACGCAATCAATACCCGATTCTGTCGAGAAGCACTCAACATGTCCATCTGTGCACAGGGCTAGATTTGAAAGCCGCCGGAGGTCGCGGGGTGATAGATCGATGTGTTTCTCTTCCATCGATGGCAAGGCTCCGCGGTCGCCTGTCATAAAGACAGATTGTCAAACGGCAATCAAAGTAATGGACTTGCCAGGCGCCACAAGCATGAGTTGACACTCTGGCCGACAAACAATTCACACACACACACACACACACACACACACATCTACACAAGTCAACACTAGACATATCTTCAGTTTATGATGACGCAAGGGTAGCACAGGTAGTTCCTGCTATCAGACCCGCTGTGGTCGATGGGTAATAAAACAGAGAATATTGTTGCTTTATGTGTCTTCACAACAGGAGTGTGTGTGTCCTTCAAACAAAGGTTTCATCGGTTGTTTTCCTGTGGGATTTGCAGAACTCAGTCTGGTTGTGTTTGATACAGTTATTTCTGCTTCTCCTCACAGAAAACAAACTTTGGTATGTAGTTTTGTATGTTTTCCATAGAGAAAGATTTTAATCACATTCATATTCAGTCAGCTTACACTGGTGTATCCTGGGAAACTGGCCATTATCTGACCATAACAGTGATACAGTTCAGCAGCTAGACCTGATGACAATCAGAGCCCCACCGTGATCACAGAGGGTGATTATCAGATCAATAGACACAAGCAAAAATGAGATAGGGACAAGCCAGACAATAGTCAGTTGTGTTCCTCCATGAGTTTATAACATGCAGTGAATGTACCATCATCTGGCCAATAATGACAGCAAGAAGTCTATAAATAACTCACACAGTTCTCTATGACGGTAGTTTCACCGATTAACGTCCTGGAACGGGTCCACATCAGAAAATTCCCCATTTATGACCCATTTATGATCGTCGTATTTCATTTCTACGAGTTACAGTAAATATCACATTCCATCCAAACACTATCTCTTTATGTTCCTGCTGGCTACATGGTGGATTAGACACAGTTTTATCCATCCTCAAAGTCAACCCAAGTGACCCTAGGATGGCGTTCACTGGTCTTGACGAAGCACGGACGTGTGCGCAGAGCGGCAGCATAGCGGGAGGCATTGATTGAGATGGCTGAGTGTGTCGAGGCCGAGCATAATCAGGAAGCTTTCAGGCAGACAGAACAATTGAATGGGCAGCCGCACCAGGGAAGCTGGGGAAATCTTTTTTTTTTTTTTTTTTCCTTTACCAGCTTTCTGTATCAATAATGTGTTCCAGTCAGGGGTTTTTTTTTTTTTGTTTGTTTGTTTTTGTTCTTTAGTCATGGAAGACACACTGTACTCGTACGCTGTGTATTTTTTGAGTACAGAGGATATGGAAAGCAAGAAAAAGACACGATGAGCGAGAAAATAAATGACAAACTGACACGAGATCTGTATAAAAAGCGGGAAAATGATCAGGCAACAAAAAGAGCCAGCAAGAAATCTCAACTGAGAGGACGGGAGAGAAGGAACAGGTCTGTGATGAAGGAGAGAGAAAGCATATTGACTGTCATGCCCATGTTGCACGCAGAAAGAGATGGATTTCTCCTTTTTTTTTTCTCCATCAGTGATTTCTTACACCAACACAGTTGAAGATGAACAATCCAATTAGTGCGAGCAAGGCCCTTTTATTACAAGAGAGCATCACATTGTATTTACAAGTTTAATCAAAACAGCCATGAAGATTGTGTCATAACCAGGTTAATTATGTTTTCCCTACAATGCTGCGTTCTCTCTGGACCACTATGTTATTACTGAATGTTTAATTAAATGCTGTCACTCATATATCTACATTACTGGTGGTTGGCTTAGCAGAGACTTAAAACAGGCTTAGGATAAGACCCATAGGAAGAGCAGTCAAAGAAAACAGACATCTGTGATCAGGATAGTTGTCATCATCTGGAGACTTAATTTTCGCACTGACATTTGGTGTGGGACCTGATAATTAACTGGCCTTTTCATTTGTGAGTTATTCATAACGTCTGTGCATGAGGTTGCTGATTAGTTAAAAAGCCAACAACAAACAGGAAGGTGCTATATTTATTCTTTTCTTTGTCCACAAGTCATTTGTTTCAAACAATAGCTATTTTTTATTCAGCCAAGACATTCGAGGAAGATTATTCAGTTGCTTTTAGTTGATGAAATCGTTTTCATTGAGAACAGCAGCTCACATCTTCTGTGTCAGGAATTTAGACCTCTGGGCACACTTTGGCTTTAAGGGAGTGTTTGGCTGAAGACCACGGAGCTGCCTGCACTGCCTCACACAGGGCCATATGGACAGATTTTCCTCTGGACAGGGCTACTGCAGGTGGAAGGCTGGGAACAGAAAGAGGAAATGTTGTCCGCTCTTCCCCCACTTGTTTCCTAGGAGGAGTGAAGAGGATCTGGGGCACAAGGCTGTACAGCTGGAAGAGGAACAGGGCAACTGCAATAGCCCAGGAAGGAAGATTGGTGCTGGGGGTAAAAAGCGAGAGAGCATGGATAATGTGGACAGGCAGGCAGAGCAGAACTAAAAGGGAGAGAGACAGGGCCAGGGAACGGACCCGGTAGGAGTCATGTTTTGGAGGGTCTGCATGACTAAAAGGAGTCTTCCTGGGCTTCATGCAGAGCAGGTAAAGGTAAATGGCCAACAGGCAAAGCAAGGGGAGTATGAACACTGTCATCCCATGAACATAGACAAGGAACTGGGGGCTGAGAACAGTGTCAGGGGCGCACACTCCCCAGTGGCTGCTGTGAATCTCAGCGTAGGTGAAGTTGTGCATGTCCTCCACATAAAACTTGGACAGGAAGCCTCCATATGGAAGGTACTTCCCAATGACCTTGCGGTCATGGTGGTATTTAGGGGGCGGGGAAGGGGTAAGATGGGGCAAAGACGTCGTCCAGTTGCCATCCAGCCCGAGGCCAGCTGTGCCGGGACCAGCACCACCACTTCGCCAGGTGTTGAGAACGTCCAAGCCGATGAACTGTGCGAAGGAAGACAGAACAGAGCCCACCCAGCACAGCAGAACCACACACAGAGCTCGCTGACGGGTCACCATCAAGG